ATACAAGACAGAATTGATTGTTTTCGTTTGAGAAAACCACGTTACCACCTCCAAAAAGTCCTTTTTATCGCTAGTTCCCTATATCAAATGGCGCTGTGCCATAGTTCAGGAGGTACACATCATTATTTCCTACTAGGGTCTTTTAAAAAGCATAAACCAATCGCATAAAATTCATCCTTTTAAATGCAAACACCAATGTGGTTCCTGGCCAGGGAGAAGGAACCAGTATCTTTAGCAGTGCGCTCCCAGGTCAAGCCTAGCTTAGGAGCAGATAAATGGCAGTAGAAAGACGTTTGTAGTATTTACGGTAGGAGTGCGCTATTGTTGAACCCATCGACGCACTCGATCACGCTAAACCACATACGAGGGCAGTCCTGAGTGTATGAGTATGACAGCCAGCTTTTGGGTTCGTCTGCAGATATCTACCTCGGCGGTGGAGCTTAATTGATTTCTGACTGACTAGATGACTTTTAGGACTGGCAGTAGGACCAGCGACCTTGGTAGTCTACGTGTCGACCCAGGGCCAAATGCGCAAGTCGTGTAGTGTCGGGTCTACATGGAAACGTATAAATTCCTACTGCCTGACGTCACTGCAAGGTAATTGGTGGGAGGGAACAATCAGCATAAACCAAACTTCCATTGTTTCTTTGTTGAAAGCTTCGTCCACTATCGCCCATGTTGGAGCTACAGACGTCGCTCGGATTAGGTAGTCGATGTGGTCGGCTAATGGTTGGAAGGACTTTGGTTGCGGGTTCTGTCCGACGGCGAACAGTACACTTCCCTTTAAAACAGGGAGTGGGCTGTGGGCATTCACACTTGCGAAACGCTAGGCAGTCGAGTATTTTCTTGCTGGCGTTACCATAACCCACAGATGATCATCCATTTTGTTGGGGTGGAAGTCACTTTATGTACCATCCAGTCACAGTCCAATATACGATAAAAGGGAAGGAATTCCACTTGTAGGCGCTCAGTGATCTCTGCTAAAATGCAGCACTACCTGCAGGTATCACAGCAAAGCCAGCATCTTTCTTTCCGCCATTTAGAAACATCACTTTGGCTCCTGACAACATTTCTCCAGCATCCAACTTTAGTGATTTTCCATCTCCTCTGTAGACCATTTGCAGACGATCTCGAGATGATGTTGCGATTGAGACACTTTTCTAAATGTCAGTTTGACTATCCATTTGGACGATGTACATCATGTGCTCACCAGCAGGGTGAGAATAATGACGGTGAGTTGCGAGTGAATTGGCTTATAGTAGTAATAAACTTACACAGCACTTAACGCTTACTCCTCCTCTCCAACCTGGATCTGGTGTCAAGACAGAGTTAAGAAGACCGGAGATGAGAGAGAGAGAGAGAGCGCAAGTGGTTGGCGCAGCCGGAGCTACCCCAGGGCGTGCCACAACAACCGGCTCGTGTTTCACTGAGTGCCACAGAGGCCACAATAAGAAGGAACCATTGCAGGGAATGGGAAATTGCTATATAGTCCGTCAGGGATAGTCTACAAAGTATGCTCTCTTTACTCGGCGACTGAGATAGTTTGACCACGTGTGGCGCAGAGCTGAAGGGGAAACAACAAGCGATATCCGTTCGTGCAAGCCAGAGCATAGCTGCTGACGACATCGAAGTGACCAAACAGGGATGTGGGTTGACGCTAAGAAGGCATCTATGACCCCACGGTCTGGTTGGGCTGTTATATAAATGGCTTAACTTCGGTCAGAACACCGACGCAAGTGAAGGTGACCATTTCTGAATACGCAGCCCTAGTCAGTTGAGTCGGGACTGAGGAATGTCATCGCAAGAATAAATTACGCCACAGCGAAGCAGTCAGGAGTTATCACCTTAACAGTGACACCATGTCAATTAGAGACAAACATTGATGTCACACGGCGAAAGCGAAGCTGGCAATTGCGAAGCAGAGAAAACTTTTCAAAGCAAAAGGAAAGGCGTACAAAGACTGTATGCCTGCGATGGGACGAGAAAGCTGAGTGTTCCGTGGCAGAGATGGAGCAGACAGCCGACAAGACCGCTGCGTCCGAAGCTGCCGTCGTTCATGCAGCGCATACCCCGATTATGCTGGGTTTTCCCTGACGGTACTTATAGCACCACTTCTGACAGTCTATTCCGAGTGCAGAGACAACGCGGAAGGGATAGCGGTACAAGAAGACACCATCTGTGCCGATACCAATCACCTTGGACAGGACCATATTACCATCTCCTACCAGAGTTTGTCGGGAGATCTGCTGACTCGTTGTCTGTTGCTCCTCAATGATTTGCAATTACTCAGGACAGCCCTACTGCGTTCGATAATGTCGGGGAGAGCCTTCGGGCATAGTGGTTCGGCCATCTTGTTGGCTGTCTCATTGTACCCTCTTTTTACGCTCTTGTAGTTTCTGGCTTGACGGGAGGAGGGTTATTGTGGCGGTTTAGGCCTCAGAGATTGGCATTGTCCTTTAGACACTCGGTTATTCTCATAATCACCTCAGTCCTGCAATGAAAAACGATATGCAGAGACGGCAACTGGTTGCCGCCCTCTATAACCGTGAGCTGGATGGGATTCTAGATTCCGCAGAAGCGGGAAACTTTTCCACTTCGGGATGACGAAACTATCATCAGCATATAGGATCCCACATTCTGGGTTGTGGGTCGCGAACACTTGAAAAATCCGAAGGAAGAATAGTTGGAATGAGTGAATGAGACGCACCAACGACATTGCTATCGGCAGCGTAGGCGGCTGCGGCTGGCAGAAAAAAGACAAGTTGATAGGGCGACTGGAGATAGCCAGTTGAACGTCGTCGGCAAATCCCTATGCCGTGTCGGTCTTTGCTGGCTTGCATGAGGAGATACCGCTGGTGATAGAGAAAACGGATAGCAGGAAGGATGCTGGGAGGTGGCTCTGATGGACTGCTCTGTCGGACTCGATGGGCTGAGACTGCTTGATGACCTCCATCTCGCTTCAAGGCAAAGTGACGGAAACAACGGTCTCCATGCTATGCTCACAGCAAGTTGGCAGCCGGATGAGGTTACTTACGTCCGGCGCTGTGACTACAGCGTCCCCAGTGTCTCAGTAGGTTGTTGCCGTAAAACTGTCTCCAGGCCAGCCGTTGGTCTGTTTAGATTGTCTGCGCCCCTAACCAATCAGGTAGGAAATTGCGTTGGTTGGCTTCCAACCCACGCGAAGCCAGTGGCAAGCCTCGAATGATCCTAGCAACGGATCTACCGGGAGCGTGAGGCGGGCAGAAGGGCAACAGCACAAATCGGCGGCGATCAGGTGAGCGGGCCAAAACCGGGCTGTTGGTGGTGCGTACATGCAGGCACTAGCGAGAGGCATAGCGCCGCAGTAGGCGCCCGGTGTGGAGACACTACGCACTAATGCTTCCAGGTTTTGGAGAACAATCTCATTAAAAAAAAACTGAGAGCGGCGATCCCACCAGGACACCTTTAACTTGCATATACGTAGCCTGTCCCGGTATGAAATACGTTCTAAGGCTGAAGTTTTATGGGATTTTCACGCTTCAACGACTTATTCGTCTCACTCTCTCGAATATCGGGAGATTTACTTACCGCTTTTGAATGGGGCGGAGAGAGAGGTGCCCTCAAATAGTACGGAGCCGCATCCGCCGGAACCCCTCCAGAGACCGCGAAGTTGACTTGACCTGTGTACGTTGGCCACAAGTAGGGAGTTTCAGGTATCGGAACAACCACTTAGTCAGGTTGAACACGAACACTCGGTAATAGGGTGGAATGGACCGGTGCGGAACACTAGCTACGCGTGCTTCTGACAGCCCACCGAATTCCGGTATGGTTGCGCCCATTGGGTAGATTGTCATTCGTTCTAACGCTGATATTGCGCCACTTCTACATACAGCGAGTGCTTTATTAACCTTCAGTAGCAACTTCTTCGCATGTTCCCATTCCCACTAGATAGTAGCTCGTCGTTCCCATATTACGACTTTAGTCTCCCGAAGGCATGGCAGCATGTGGCCTACACTTCCCCGCCAAAGTAGTGAATTGCTGTCGAGCGAGGTCTTTCACCTCGCCACATAGTTCTTTTGAGAACCGACTCGACGTCGTCCGCGAGGTTGACCATCTCGGCGTTGAAGCATGCTCTACATGACAGCACTCTGAGCTGCCCCGAGATCAGTTGGAATAGTCTGATGACCAGTATTCCATCATTTGCTATTGAAAGGGAATGTATTTTCGGAAAGTCAGCATCACTTCAAAGTCCCCTCTCGCACCCAGTTCTAAGCCTCCTTTGTCGACCACTTACTGCAGCAGCGCTGTGCTGATCACACCAACGAGTTTCGAACCCCAGGCATCCACTTAGCCCAAACAAACACAAAATCTGAGCATTCGAAGACGACACCCCCGAAGCGGCATGCACATCATTCGACTACCATGTTGCACGACCTGTTGTCACGCCGGTTAAGCTCATTGGTTTGGTTATTCAGGTGAACTCTGTCGTTAAGTGAGACCTTTTGATGTAGGTAAGGGAAAGTACTTAGACGTCGGTAAACGGGGGTTTCCGACACAGGCATGGCGTCCTGATTCGGAACTTGTTGGCATTGGATGTGAGAAGACTCAACTGTGCTAAAAGGGCACTACATGAAGAAGCAATCAGCTCGAGTGCAACAAAGTGTGGAAATGGACTAAGAATCTACCGAGGATCGTCTTCCAGAGGAGTCGAGTCAGAAGTTGGCCTCCTGTACGAAATCTACTCCTGTATTATTAAGAATACCAAAAACTGTTGCAGACTTCGGCTAAGGTGGATTAGGACACAGCAGTTTAGCCAAGTACATTTACTGGTACAAAGTAGGCAAAGATTCTATACGAAAAAGAGAACAGTTTGAAAGTCCAAGAGGTAGTCGTCTCATAACCTCGGTTTAGGAGTACTGCTCAGTACTAGGGGAGATGTCGGGGTCAGAAATAAATGTAACAAAATAATAAGGTAGGTTTGCAGAAAAACAGACAAAAGGGATATGCAAAGCACAAAGAAATCAGAATTTTGAATTCGGCGCCAGCTGGAGGGAGGCAGCTCGCAGCCAAAATCCCTCCTCGTCGCGTTCCTGACCACACATACAGACATCGAGACAATTCACTGACTGGCAGGTGTTCCGAGGGTCATATCTACTAAAGTATTGGTGTACGTTTAGTCGACCGGATAGCTTTCGCGCGGCATTTGCTGGAGGCTGAAGAGAAAGGAGACATAGTAGTAATGGTGACGAGAAATCTACAGCACCTATGTAATCTCATGAAATGTTGACTGTAATCCTGAAATGTGTTTTCAATTCCACGATATCATTTTAGAAGGGTTGTAAAATAAATTATTATTTAAAAGACCAGTTGACGAGCAGAAGTGTGGCCTTGGCAAATTCTTGTCGAGCCAGTTCATTTATAGACTAACAATATACAAAGTAAAACATGTGAGCACGCGTACTTTCGCCAAATGCTCCTCAGAAGTGCTCCATGAAAATAAGTATTGTGTCGCGCAATAGTAAAATATTCCAGTCACGTCAGGATGCCGGTCGCCGAATGAATTCTCTATCGACGGCCTCCATAAACTATAACCCGCAGTAAATAACTACTTAAGTAGCATGAACTATCACCACTTAATCTTGACAGCCATATAAAGTTAAATATATTTTACAGAAAACTCCACAAAAATAATCCCCCTTTTGCTCATTTGATAGCAGATTGCGTTTTATTCACATTTTATCCTTAAAAGAAGGGTCTTTATGTTTTTAAGAGCTTTCTCAATTTCCGAATAATTTTGAACCCGACCTGTCGTTACACTTGCATGAAGGGATTCAAACGACAAGCCGCATACTTTTCGTGCAAGAAAAATCTTACATTTATAAATGCTACTATGAAGAGGACATAAAGGGCCCACAAAATTTTGTTATGGATGTGGGTCATGTTGTCCACTTTATAAGCAACTTTAATAAATGTGCTGACGTGATGCCGTTCGACTGAACACTTCACGGTCTAAAGTCTCGTAATTAGAAAATCTTCCAAAACCGGAAGATACTCTTTCTGTAAGTTTAAAATTTGAAGAAAACGTAAAATATTGGTGCACGTTGAGTCGATTGGATAGATATCGCAAGGCATTTGACGGAGGCTGAGGAGACGGCAAACGCAGTAGCAATAGTGACGATAAATCTATTTTGCAGATATCAGGAAGAGCAGATTTTTCAGTAAAAACGTTCCAGCTCCCAAAAATGGCGTTTCTGAAACGACGTCTCATTGAACAGACTGTTTGTTCTGTCAGTTTTTAGATCGAATTTATGGACAGACACAGCCCTCTGCGGCGACAGGAAACAGCTGATAAATGGTGAAATTTCCGGTTACCTACACGGGACAATTAAACTATGATAAGCAGCAATACAAACTGCAGAATGCGAAAGTTCTCGCGTCCTTAAAATTCCAGTGCACAACATCCTTTATCGCCTACTGGCTTCGCGTTAGCTCTATCCCAACTTCCGTCCTAAAGCGGCTCAGTGTCTCTTACGTCACCCAGTGATTTCCTCCCCCTTGGCACAAAAAATGTCATAAATGTCAGCTTGAACGCACAAATAAGACTTAAAATGCGAAATAAATATATACCCTGGGGAGCATACATAACATTAGTTGAGAGACAGTAAAAGTACAAGGGCTCATCGAGCCAAGTCAACACACCTTAATCACAGTCATATGTGCATTGAACTCGTGATCATCCACTTCAATCCCGTTTTCCCGAAAGGCTGAACTTATTATTTGATTAATCTCATCGCTTATGGAGGCCCCGACAACAATCACAAAATTCGTAAACTGCTGTGCGTGGCGAAATATAATCGTGGGGCCAGACTCGCTGTAGTATTTGTCAGCCAGCCGCTGAAGTATCCGAACAGACAGGTGCAGCTCCTCCGGTCCAGCCGGACAGAAGGTGCACAGGGTGACATGAAACCAGCCCGGTGGGTAGCAACTCTCCTTAAGGAGGGGAAACTGCTCACAGATCTTCGTTTGCATGTCCACTGCCTTCTCAATCAGTGCCTCGTTGTAGACGCGCTGACAGATGAAGAAACGGTGTTTGCGGAAGCCCGACTTAGAGGCCTGAATGTCGCACAGACGCTTCAGATGCTCCGGCGCCTTGCAAACGACAGCCAGCTTGTCTACTTCTGCCAGCGAAGAGTCCTGGCAAGTTTTCTCCAACAGGGCGTAGATGGGGGGTGGTGAGGAAGTGGAGATGAGGTCCAGTCCACTCTGCCTGTCCCAAACAACCTTGTCCAGCAGCTTCAGGCAAGTGATTTGACAATCCCGTAGACCCAGAGAGCTCATATTGAGTCCTAGGACCGGGTCTTGGTGGAACTCGGTCAGTGGCTTTCCTGCCTCTGAGCCGGTGGCAAAATCGGTGTAGAAGACGGTAATGAGGTTGTCGGGAATGCGTTCATCGGAGAGGACAAGCTTCAAAATGTCCCTGGCCCTCTGAGTCTTCAACATACTGAGGCTAAATGAAGAAAAGAGATGAGATAAGCTGGAAGCTGGAGATATGAATTGGAGGTCGGGAATCAGAAATCAATTCTTGGGCGCGGGGGGCAGACCATTTTCAGGCTGGGAAGTGGAGTGCATTACACGCATCCCTCTAGGTTATACACTAGCAAGGAACTGCAGAATGCAGTCTCCCTAGGGGTGAGAAACAGTTCAAACGCAAATGGCAGGTTCAGTTGGACCAGAAATAGGGCAGTTGTATTTCAAAGGCAGAAGTAAATCACAAACTTTCGCCATACATGCATTGACGGCTACTACAAACTGACAATTTTCGGTGCTAGATTTCTGAGACAAACGTGGTAGAGCGGTTTACGGGAGACAAGGATGAACAATTCGCATGTCAAAATGAGAATCGAGAGAAGCCTCTATTGTTGATGGCGCAAAAAAGTTCCGTCAAGCTCCGTGGTATTCGTTGAGGGACGATTTCATGGTCCATTAAGCAATTAAAAAGAAGGCCAGCTTCTCCGCCACGACACGGAGTAAGCGGCTGCCGCGCTGGAAGGACACCTTTCTGAGTTGCTCGACCCACTCTCTTGATGTGTCCGTCGTTGCATCCATCGCAACTGTCCCCAAAACTCCTGGCATTACAGTCTACAACCACAATCACAACAGTAATTCTGTGCCATCGAAACAGCAGAGCAGCGTGTAGGGGCGGGTTGCAAGTTGAAGTCCAAAAGGGATTTTTGGCACGAACTGTGTTGAGCCAGGTTTTGAGCTGACCTCCTTTTCGACACCTCCAAAAGGGTAATGGAGCCAGATCAAGGGCAGTAACACTGAGCTCCTGAGGTGGACGGAGAAAGACATTTTTATTGGATGGCCGGGGTTATCCTTGCAATGCTGTCACAGCGATTGTGGACTGTCTCATCTGAGGCGAAGTCGGTTTAGCTCACTTGAAGGATGGCTCTCAAGCATTAGTGGTCAAATACCTTCAGTTTTCGGCATCACGTACACAGCACAGAATTCACAACCATAGATAAGGACAGACTGGATTGGTGCACTTTTCCCGATAACTCAGCTGAAGAAACAATCTACCCTTGATTGCCTAGTTCTCGCCTCCCGCAAATCCATGTAAAACTACTCAATCGGGACATTGTGTGCCTTCGTCCTCCGTACTTCTAGCTGGTTAATTTCAGGAAGGGATAACCAATCACATCGAACGCTCACAAAACTAGTTCTGTCGACTCGGGAAGTTCCGGTAATCTAGGCATGAAGTTCAACAGGAAACAAAGATTTGAGAGTACTGGATCGTGCTGAATGCGCCGTCTTGCTTTAAGGAAGCGAATAATGGACCCTAGCTGATGGTAGTCTGTGGAGAATTGGGGCGTTTGACAAACAGTGCCCCTATAGAATACTGAAGCAAGAATATTGGAAGGACTTGCTTAGCCAAATAAACCATTGCTTTAGTTCAAATTTTCCTTTTTACAGAAGTATACAGGTGGACATTTAAGACCATGGTTAACAATGCATCAAGCGTAACTGCTTTCATAAACGAACAATGTACCTTAGTTGACAACGCGATTGGCCGTAGCACAAGTTGCAGGACAGACGGAATGCCATCGGCAGAAAACCGACGTTGTGCTTACGGACTGCGTCACGAAAGCAGAACCACACCGCCAATCAGGGATACTTTTCGGTGTTGCAGTTAAGGGCTGACGTCTTCGGTGGTTTGGCCACGTACTCCATAATCCAGAAGTGTAACTCATCCGCAAAACAATCACCCCAAGTATCTGTCTGAGTCGGTGTGGCCGCCGCGATGGCTAATTGAGGAAGTGGACAGACGTGGTCAAGTCAGAACTGAAGAGGTTTCCGAGTGACTGACAGACAACCGAAGACCATAAGCTGCACTACTTCACGACGTTGTAAACCCTAATATTTGCACAGGTTGATCGGACGTTTAGATCGGATTTCTTGGCTCTGAAACCTCGGATAAATTGGAACAATACGCACTTGTGACCTACGGCACTCTCACACATGTGTGATGCAGGCCGCCCAACCTCCGCTGCGTGAAGTCCTGGTGCTTGTGTTTGGGGGTCAGGTCGGGCATGTGGCGCACGCAGACAAGGTCAGTAGATATGTCAGCCATCGTGCCCATTCTCCGCAGCTGTCAACTGACCAGCTCGGATAGTAACAGGGGCCTGCGAATGGGAAGGGAGAGCGGGGTCGACGACTCAGCGCATTTTCCTCTGTATAAACAATCCGAAGTGCTTGAAGTTATAACGGTGCGCTAAAATCCGTGGCTTGGAAAGTTGTCAGCCGACGGGATAACTTGAACCTCTGAGTCGGCCTGGTGTTGTTTCTGCATGGAGCGGCTGACTGGTTGTGTAAGAGTTAGATTGCAAAGGCACCTTCTTAATGTGGCCTTTATGGCACTCTCACTCCGTGGGATCCGACCAGGGTACGGCGGCGCGCTTACGTGCGGCCCCGGCCGCGCCAGCCCCTTTAGCTGTTAGTTAAAATCCTCAACATTTGCTGTATGGACCAGGGGGTGTGGAGTGGAACGCCAAGGTGAGGACACGACCGTGCTATCCATCTGCGCGCTCCCCCCGTCCCCAGTCTTCTTGACTCTGCCTTGACACCGGAACCAAATGGGGGGGAGGAGGGAGTGCGGCAGATGCTGCACAAGTCCACATTCATTATAAGCAAAATCACGTGCAAGTAACTTGGCCTGATCCAACTTGCTGTGGAGCACACGATGGACATCGTGAGCAACGATTGTCTAACTGCCGATATATACTACCGCATGTCGGGCGGTATTGCCGGACCCACATTCCATGACCGACAGCTTTTTTCTGTATCAAATATAGACAAATCCAATTCATCTTGCCTTTTTCGAAAAGGAGCTTTTTCAATGTTCGCTAATAGTTTTTCATGTCAAACTGCTTATTTTATAAACGCGAACTGAACGCTGCATAGTGTCTGACAAATTATTCTAAAATTCAGTCGAAAATTTATTTCTACTTGCAATGACAGTACCCGCAGGGCTATTAAACAAAATACCTCATTTACTTATGAAACGGCCTAAAGCAGCTGATGAGATAGCTCCAAAGCAAGTAAAACTAAGTAGTTGAGGCGCATATGATGGACGCCATCGGTCAAAAAACCCGCTTCTGTCACCGTCTCTGATGAAGGGGTTCGTGCGAGAATCCTAAACTTCAGGCGAATAAAGTTCTTGTTCCTGCGACTGCTTCTACTTCTTATCATAAAGCCTGTTGTTGTACGAGACGTATTTTACACAGTGGGTAGAATTATGAAGCATTCAATGTCAGAATAAGTTGTAGAAGAGACTAGAGACATTTCTGAGTACTCGAAGAGGCAGACCTTAATAAATGATACCCACTAGGAAACTTGGTTTAGGGGATGATCAGAGCATAACCGCACTGTTTCACAGTGTAAGAAGACTTATACAGTACAACTGTATTGGAGGTGAGGCCTAAAGTAAAATGAAAACGGGCATTATAAAAAGTGGTAGACTTTATGGAGTTAAACCGAGAGGTGAGTGAAAAAAGCCGGTTTTTAGAAAAATAAGCTTTTTGAAAAACAGAACAAAGGCCGGCACCGAGCTTCGTTAGGTGCTTTAAATTGCAGTATATGGACTCGCGCACGTCGCGTAGCCGGCGCTTTATTCCACCCTAGTGGCCTTCAACTTGATTCACGGTTGCTTCGCCATCTGAGTCAACGAAACAGCGAGAAGCACAGTGTTCTGTTCCAACCAAACACATAGAACTCAACTTTACCTGCGTCACTAATCAAAAATGGATGTGCTGAGTGGCCAAACCCACTTCCGTATTAAAGAGATACCTTCTGCGAGGTGTCATAAATCTCGCATATCCATTTTTGTGGCGGAGGTATTCCGCGGTTATACTTCCGTCACATGATAACGGTTTTATCAACCTCCACGACAACTCCAGAGTCCACCATGGAGTTTGAAACTATTCTAATATAGCGGATCAGGCACGTCTGCACTTACTTTAATACTAAGACTAAGAATAAATGTCAATAAAAGACAAACAAAGGCCTATAGAAACCCTTTGGAACATACAGTAACCGAAACGTCCAAGGCAGACAGTAAATTGCATAGTTGCAGATGTCTGCTGGTTAAAATAGCTCTGATTTGCGTTCTCGTTAAGAGCTTGAAACGAGCACGCATTGCTACTAGGGATTACATAGCTGCAGATGTCTGCTGGTTAAAATAGCTTTAATTGGTAGGTTTACGATGCGCGTGAACGTTCGATATTCCAACGTCATTCCGACGGCAGAATGCACATAATCCTGCAGGAGCGCAAGTATGGTTGGGGGTGATTATTGAGAACATTTTGCGGAATGTTTCCGCGGATATTAAGTTATGTAGCAGCCTGGGGCGTCGGGGGTAGCACACACCAAAGTAAGGAAACGCTTAGAATTCTCTTATGAGGTCCTGGCGGAGATCGATCTGAACAGAACTGCTAGCCTCTCTTGATACTCATTCACACGCAAGAGAAGAATGTAAGTCAAGTAAGGAATATAATATAATATAACGAGATGGGCACGTGAAATACGTATAATAAGTGTTAGTATACATGTGGAATAAGAAGCTGTAATGAAATAACTTGTCTGGATGGATGGGCGACCCTGACATACTAGCTAAACAATCGGTGAGGATGCAGCTCTAAGGGGAACTACAGGGAAGGGCCGAGGGGGAAGCCGACGCTGAATGAGAGAGAGAGAGAGAGAGAGACGAGAGCGGCGGTGCATTGTGGGAAGGGGTCTGTCGGTCGTAACGAGAGGAAGGGACACCGGCTGTCTTCATCAGCACGCAGTTACACCATTGCAATATTCTAGCTGGTATGGAGACAAACAGTTCACACCACGCACACTGACCTAGAACGCGGAAAGCGGGGATGAGAATTTATTTACCATTGATAATGAAACAAACGAAGTGCGGATTAACGAAATTGGGATACTGCCAGACTCTAGTCGGAGTTATTATCAATTGGGCAGACCTTATGCATAAAAACAAGAAAGAAAAGATTACCAGGAAGGTATGAAAATGTACACCTGAAGTGTGACGTATGTAACTAAGCCTCCCCTCTGAAAAGCCCCTGTCCTCAGTGGCTGGAGGAAGCAACTTCGATGGTTTGACCAATAGGGATATCGTCACTAGGGATTATGAGAGGTGGGTCAGGGGGTTCGAGGGGATGACCCGCCTTTAACCTGTTAAAGTGAACTATGGGAGTGTTCGGATTGTCGGCCTCGAGTAACAGATAAATGTTGTTGGGTAAACACTGGGCGGCAGAGAACGGGCCCGACCACGGATTGTGGAATTTATTAGGTTGTCCAGGTAGAGGATTATCCCTGTGAAGCCACACCTCATCGCCTGGTTGGAACGGTGACCCGTGTCTTTGTCGGTCCTAAAAGCGGGCTTGTGATAGTTGAGCTGGCTGCAGGTGTGTACCGGCCAGCCGTTGACATTCTTGGTGGCTGTCCATCAGTCTCGTGATGTAGGATGGGTGCGTGGGAAACACAGGTCGTGGGGTAGGTAGATAGGATTCCAAAGGGAGTTGAACTTCGCGGCCGTAAGTCGACGTAGCGGGAGTGAATCCTGTTGACTTTTGCATTTTACTGCGGTAGAATAGGAGACAATTGGAGGTAAGGGTGTCCCAGATGTCGTTGTAGACTGAAGCTATGAAAGCTCGTAATAGAGACAAAATAGATTTGTTGGTTCTTTCTGTCTGTCCGTTGCCTTGTGTGTGATAAGCTGTAGTCCTTGTTTTCTGTAAGCCGAGTCGACTGCACAGTTCATGTACTAGGAGGCTTTCGAAATTGGAACCTTGGTCGGAGTGAATAACATCTGGTACCCCGAAACGGGCAACCCACGTACACATGATAGCGTCTGCGACCGTAACCGTTGTCTGGTCAGACAGATGGGCTGTTCCGCCCATTTGGTGAAGACGTCGACCATCAGTAAAAGGTATCGATTACCCTCCCGTGATTGTGGGAAGGGGACCACGGTGTCGACTCCAAGACGCTGAGTCGAGTAGCCGGTGGAAATCGGTTGCAACTGTGCTCTGGGATTGTGGTTGGTATGTTTAAATCGCGCATAAACTTCACACTCTTGGCATATGAGTGCCATATCTTGACGAAGATTAGGTGGCTAGAAGCGAAGCCTTGCCGCTCTTTCCAGTTTGCCTTGTCTCGCGCGACCCAGTTGGTGGTGTAACTCCCGTAAGACACTGCGTGTATGAGACGGAGGGAGAACGAGGCCGGTCGTGGATTGGGGGTCATAGTTGACGAAAAGCTTGCGATCCCTCGTAGGAAGGTTTTGCCAGGAGGCCCACAGGCTTGTGCTTCACGGCTTTCTTCTGACATCTGGTCTTTTGACGGTTTGGTGGAACCTCGCAAAAATCGGTCGTAGATGAGACCGTCGTCTGGACCGTTGGCTTGAAGGTTAGCCCAGTTCACCGCCGAAGTGGTCACCAACAGAGCAGTAACGTCGAGATCTTGGCAAGCGTAGCAGTTGTGGGGCTCGCGTATGGGAATTCGCGATAGTGCGTCCGCGTTGAGATGTTACTCCCCAGGGCGGTGTACAACGGTAAAGTCAAAATACGTCAGCATTTCCTGCCACCTTCCTACTTGTTCCTCCAGTTCGTGGGAATTTTGTAGCCACTCCAGAGCTGAGTGGTCCGTCCCAGCCCGTTCCCAGCCCACCAGTCCGCCACTCCACACAACACACACAACGCGACGAACTGCGTGAGCCGAGAGCGGGCGTCAGTCAGCAACCTTCCTATCCTCGACGCTTGATGTGTCGGGATAGTCTCGGACTCAAATCACCCGTGCAGTCGAAGCCGCATGGGGACCGAGTCGAGATGCGGACTTCCCACTTGCGTGGGAGGTGGCAGTTGGGTGCATGAGGTGTGAGAGTGTTGATGTCTGGTGGGGTGATGGTGGTGGTGGTGGTGGGAGGTAGGGAGTGTGTGGCTGTGTGGTGTAACCGGCGGTTGTCTACCGCAGGTCGTCGTGGATGCGCATGTGGCCGAATAGGCCCATGCGATGCCTGAAAGTGCGAGGACATTTTACGCAGTTGAGACGAGCTTGGTGGGTATAGGTGGGTGCTCCAGGCACTGCGTAGGGTGAATGTGCGTGGACAGTGTGGGCATGAGAAGTCGGCGGTGTCAGTGTCAGCTACAGAGGAGGCGGTGGTGATGGCGCGGACGGATGGAACGAGGGTGGGGGTGTGCACGGTGGATGCGTTGGATGCAAACATTTCAGGGAGGACTTCAGGGTATCCTTGTATCGACGAATTGGGCCTCCTTGAGGACGAGAACCCGTCGCGACGTCCCCGTAGAAGAGCCGTTTGGGTAGCCGCTCGTCGTCCATGCGCACCAGGTGCCCGCTCCTGCGCAGCTGCATTTGTCTCAACATTGAGTAGATGCTGAGGATTCCCGTCCGTTCCAGCACATCAGTGTCGGGGATGCGATCCTGCCAGTTCAGCCGCAGAATGCGACGAAGACAGCCGAGGTGGAAGTGGTTCAGACGGCGTGCCTGCCTCGTGTACACCGTCCAGGTCTCTGCTCCATACAGTAGTGTCGGCAGGATGACGGCCTTGTACATCTCCAGCTTCGTGCTTAGTTGAAGACCATGCCGATTTCAAACTGTTCTTTGGAGGCGACCGAAGGCTTGACTGGCTTTCGCGATCCTGTTGTCGACTTCGTCGTCGATCTTGGTGTTGCGGGAGAGAGTACTGCCCAGGTACTGGAAGTTCTCCACCACTTGCAGTTGGGTTCCGTTCACGCTGATTTGCGGCTCGTTGGGGGGTGTGGCAGAGTTGGGTGGCGGTTGATGCATCACCACCGTCTTCTGCGTGTTGATGACCAGATCGAAATTCTCGCAGGCGGCGGAGAGCAGGTACATGCTCCGTTGCATCTCCTCTTCCGAGGTGGTGTTCAGGGCGCAGTCGTCGGCGAAGAGGAGTTCGTGAACGGTGGTTGTGGATACGCGCGAGTGGAAGTGCATCCGCCGTTGATTCAGGAGGCGACCGTCCGTACTGTAGGCGATGCGGATCCCGGGGCGTTCGTCGCGGTAGGCGTCCATCAGCATGGCAGAGAACATAAGACTGAAGAGGGTAGGTGCCAGTACGCAGCCCTGCTTCACTCCATTGGTCACTGCGAATGCCTCTGAGACAGCTCCGATGTCAGTGACTCGCGCCATCATACCATCGTGCAGCTGACGCAACATCTGAGTGAATCGCTCCGGACAGCCGAATTTCTGCATGATCTTCCACAGTCCTTCACGATTCACCGTGTCGAAGGCTTTCGTTAGGTCCACGAACGTAGAGTACAGGTGAGTCTGCATCTCCTGACACTTCTCCTGAAGTTGGCGGGCGGCGAAGATCATATCCGTGGTCCCACAATGACGACGGAAGCCGCAATGGCTTTCCGGCAGAAGGCCCTGTTCCAGATGGTTATTGAGGCGGTTGAGGAGGATTCATGCGAAGATCTTCCCAGCGATGTTCAGCAGGGAGATGCCGCGGTGATTGTCGCAGACTTGGCGATTCTCTTTGCGCTTGTAGAGATGCACGATGGTTGCGTCTTTGAAATCTTGCGGGATTTCACCTTGACGCCACATCTCCTGGAAGAGCGCAGTCAGGTGATCTGTCAGTTGGGGACCTCCGTGCTTGTAGACCTCAGCAGGGATTGCGTCCGATCCGGGTGCTTTCCCGCTGGAGAGTTGCTGCACGGCCCTGATGTTCTCCTGGAGTGATGGCGGGAGGTCGAGGTCCGCGTTGGTCTCCACTTGCGGCAAACGCTCGATGGCGGCGTCGGAGATGGCGGAGGGGCGGTTGAGGACGCCCGGAAATGCTTGGCCCATCGCTGTAGGATTTGCGTCTTCTCAGTCAGGAGAGTGCTGCCGTCGGCGCTGAGGAGAGGAGCAGTGCCCTTCGTCGGCGGACCGTAGACAGCTTTGATCGCAGAGAAGTTCTTCCATTCGTTGCGGTCCGCGTAGCCTTGGATCTCCTCAGCTTTGCAAGCAGTCCAGGCGTCCTGCATCTCGCGCAGTCGCTGTTGGACGTGGCGGCGACTGCGGTAGAAAGCAACTTTGTTGTCGTCAGTGGGGTGATCGACGTAGGCTTTGTGTAGGCGGTTCTTCGCGGCAAGCAGATTTCTGATGGCGGCGTCGTTGTCGTCGAACCAGTCCTGGTGTTGGCGGGGAGCGCGACCAAGGACGGCGAGCGCCGTCGACTGGACCGTGTCTCGCAGTTGACACCAGCGGTTCTCCACGGAGGCGTTCTCGGCAGCGGCCGCGGCAGCGATAGGAAGGTTGTCTAGCCGTTGAGCTAGCTCATTGCTGAAATGAAGATGGTGAGCGGGCAAAGACAACAAGGCAACATTCGGCCTACCTGGGGGTCACTTACCTTGTGGTCTCCTGCGAGGCTGTAGGCGAATAGGCATTTTCAAGATGACGAGGCGATGGTCGGTCCACCCGTCAGCACCCGCGATCTCCTTCGTCACCAGCAAGTCCCGCTGATCTCGCCTCCGGACGAGGACCTAGTCCTGCAGGTGCCACTGACGCGACCGAGGATGCCTCCAAGTGGCCTTCTCTCGCTCCGGCAGACAGAAGAAGGTGTTCGTCAGGATGAGGCGGTGTTCTGCGCAGGTGCGGAGCAGCAGCAGACCATTGTCGTTTGAGCCGCGGAGACCGTGGGGACCCAGCACTCCTCTCCAGGCAGCATGGTCTGTGCGGACGCGGGCGTTGAAGTCGCCAAGGACAATCAACTTGTCCGCCTTCGGCACAGTCGCCAAGAGGGCGTGCAGGTCCTCGTAGAATTTTTCTCTGTCGGCGTCGGGTTTGGTCATCGTTGGAGCGTAGGCGCTGATGATGGTGGCGAATTTGCCCCCACCCCGGAGAGGCAGGCGGAGGCGCATCAGGCGATCGTTGATGCCTTGCGGCAAACTGGGCAGTCGTCTTACGATTTCGTTCCGGATAGCGAAGGCGACACCCGCGTCTCGTTGCTCTGCCCTGGGTCGACCACTCCAGTAGAAGGTGTAACGGTCTCCCACCTCTTCCAGTTGGCCTTGTTCGGAGAAGCGGGTCTCGCTGAGTGCGGCGATGTCCACCTTGTAGCGCGCCAGTTTTCGTGCCACTAACGCTGTCCTCCGTTCCGGTCGGTTGCTCCTCGGATTGTCTAAAAGAGGACGAAAATTCCAGGCTGCCAGAGTGAGCGGACTCACCCTGCCAGTCTGGCGACAACGAATGGGGCGACGGGAAGGAGATGGAGAAGAAGGTGACGAAGGAGAAGAATAGGCAGAGGAAGAGGAAGAAGAGGTAGGATGAGGAGAATGAGTACAGTTCTTGTTGTTATTGGTATTGTTGTTGGTTCGATTTTGATTGTTTCGACCATTATTAGACGTCTGCGGCCCTGGCTAGCCTGGAGACGGCGTGGTACCGAGCAATGTTTAGGCCACCTTTTCTAGGCCCTTCCCCTCGTGGGGGCTGACAGTGCCATCCCTGAATAGGGCTGCCATGTGCCGTTGTGGCACGGCCGAACTCTACTATGGGACCACGACTTCGGGTTGTAGTGGAAAGCGACTCGAATTCGCCGTAAGCCCCGGTCTCCGACGGCGTAGGTAGGCACGTCAAGGCGATGTCGATGTGGAGATCCATCCCGTCACCAGCTGTCCAGCGGCGTTCAGAGACTAATCACGTCAAGGCAGTGCCGACGCAAGGTACCATCCGACCTTCCATCCAGCGGAATCCGCAAACAATGTGCACGCGACACAGCGCACAGGGCCCCCTCACCTGGTTTAGCCCGCCGGTCGAGACGGTTGCCCGGGGTGTGGCCGCTGAGCAGAGCCCAGCTACGTGGAGCCACAGATGAGAGTTGGTTGATAGCAAATGGACGCTGGGCGTAGTCTAACCTGCAAGCAAGTGAGCGACCACTACGACCATCACATGAACCCACCGCTGACGCCCCCTACACCCTGTTGTCCTCCCAAAGTACAAAAAAAAACAACTTTTCGACCTCCTTGGTTAACTAGGGACCTAAATAGGCAGCTACGGAAGATAAGTAAACGATGGAAAATATTCAGGGAAACTGCGTCACCAGCGCATTTCGAAGAATTTCGTCGTCAACGAAATGCAGTCAAGAAATGTATCCGTCAGGCACGGAAAGAGTATGAATCCAAAATTATCCGACAGGCTGAACAGAAGCCTTAGATGCTGTTTCACTGTCTTAACAGTAGACTGAAAAATAAGGACCCGGTCGCCGTGCTGAAGGATGATAATGGTGTAGAGATCATTGAGAACAGCGAGAAAGCCGAACACTTAGGACAGTATTTTGCCTCGGTTTTTACTAGAGAAACAGAGTTTCGTTGTTGCAGTGCCGGCAGTGCTCTTGAGACTGTTGGTCTGTGCTTGACTCCATCTTCTTCCCGACAGCTGCCGTGGAATGGGAGCTGAAAAATCTCAAAGAGGCCAAGTCATCGGGTCCGGACAATATTCCGGCCAAATTCTTGAAAAAAATGGCGAATGAATTCTCCAAACCACTGGCACACATCTTCCGCTCGTCATTCGAATAAGGGAGACTGCCATCGGAATGGAAGACAGCAAATATCTCTCCGATATACAAGGGCGGGCTCGCACTAATGCTAACGATTACCGGCCTGTTAGTCTAACCTGTATCTGCTGTAAAATAATAGAGGCCATTGTTAAGAAAGCAACTATGAAGTTCCTGGAGCAGGGCCATTTACTTTCAGACCTGCAGCACGGCTTCAGACAGAACCGCTCGTGCCTTTCCAGTTTATTACTCTCGACGGAGCAATGGACTCGCGCACTGGACGAGGATGGTAGGGTTAATGTCATTTCCACAGACTTTAAGAAAGCGTTCGACAGCGTCCCACACAAACGCCTAATCTACAAACTTTCTGAAATTGGGATAAGAGGAAGGCTGCTGACATGGATAACGGATTTTCTTAGCGGGAGATCACAAACCGTGTGCATTGAGGCCTCAAGTTCAACCCCTACCCCCGTTCAAAGTGGTGTATCCCAGGGCTCCGTCTTAGGGCCGTTGCTATTCCTGATTTACATTAACGACTGCGTCGACGACCTGGGATGCAGCGCCATCATGTTTGCTGACGATGTTAAACTGTGGAGACCCATCAGATCTGACGCAGACAGGTACGCGCTTCAAGACAGTCTCAACGGCCTGAACAGTTGGTCAGCTCATTGGCTCCTTAATTTTGGTGTGGAAAAATGTGTGGTGTTGAGACTCCGCACCAAAAAGAGCAGCAAGGCTCACGATTCCTTTCAATACGTCCTTGGTGGTCAGCCCCTTTCAAATGTCATGGAACAGAAAGACCTGGGCGTCCGAATGACCTCCTCGCTGAAACCATAATCACAGTGTCAAAGGGCAGCCAACAGTGCGATAAGGATGTTATTTGCGCTGAGGCGAGGATTTGTGCAGATTGATAAAGAGCTATTCGGGAAAAGCTATGGGGCATTCGTCCGGTCTCACTTAGAGTACGCAGTCCAGGCCTGGCGACCGTGGTTGAAGAAAGATTATCAACGACTGGAAAGGGTACAGGCGATGGCTACGAAGATGGTCAAGAATCTTCATCATCTGCCTTACGAAACCAGGCTGACCGAACTAAATCTGTTTCCTCTAAATTACAGTCAACTGCGCGGCGATCTCATTCAAACCTACAGGATTGTCAGAGGTCGTGAATGTGCCCTAGACTTTGGTGAATTCTTCTAATTGGCCGGGACTGACCGCCTGCGTGGTCATCCCTTCAAACTGCAGAGGCAGCTGGCCCATTCGGACCTCCGACGGAACGCCTTCTCTCATAGTGTCATCGGGGCATGGAATGGACTCCCTGATGTAGTGGTTCTTTCCGAAAGTATCGATTCCTTCAAGTGTAGACTAGATGCTCATTTGTTTAGAAACTACTGTACATGCAATAACGATTGTTTTAGCGGTGGCAGTTTGCGCCTGGCTCACAATTACTGCTAATTTTTTAACTTTCCGCATTTGCTGATGTAATTGATGACTTTTTTTCTGTTTATCGTTATGAATAAGGAGCTCAAGGGCGAAAGCCTCATTCCCTTAATAAACTGACTAAAACTCACGTTGTAGCGGCGAAAAAATCTGCGTACCTTAGGAGCACAACTTCAAGAAGTAGCAATATCGAGGATGAAGGCGTAATTAAAATCCCAAATGGAAGCCAAGCCACCGGTCGGCTTAGTCACGCCATCTGGAATCGTCGCGGCATGGTATTCAACGCAAAACCGAGAAAGAAAAGGATTATTGTCCTGTTAAGACTTTGATAGAGGGCGAAGACGCGATCTGATTATGAAGGTCATGAAAGAAGACACAAACATACTCACTCCAGCCGCCTGTAAGAATATTAGCGATGAAGAGGCCGGAACTAATTGTGAACTCCGAAATCCTGCGACGGACCGGTGTCTTCAGTAAACATTCCGAAGCTGGAGCAGCTGCAACTGCGATAGAGCGGTTATATCGGGAGTATGAACGACGAGCGCCTGCCCATCGGCTATTCTACGACGACGCAGCCACACGTGGTCGCAGACAAGGCGAACAATAAAATCACTACAAGCACATTTTCGAAACACCATTCGAGCACCTGCAAATCAATGCGGAGAACTGGAAATACCCCATTCAAAAACGGCAGGCAGGGGTCTTTGTCGTAAAAACTGGAGCGGCCAACTTCAAAGCCAACAGGATAGTCGTTGTCAAGACAAGCAGAGGCCGGCGAGACCGAAGTGTCAAGGACCAATGATGTCAGCACCAGACGGGGATGAATACAGAGGATGGTTGCTGTTTCTTACAGAGTGGATTTATTATTTGTACCACATTGTGCATATCCACAAGCGTTCGCGCCGGCGTTTGAAGACAATTGACATCGCACTACTTGCTCAGTAACATAAATGTATAGATTTCCGTGATCGCTACTGTAAATTTCGTTGTTGTTGTTGCCAACTTTTGCAATAGTCCGTCTTTCTGTTAGGTTTCGATGTTTTGTTTTTATGTGCGTGGTGCTTCTTATCATGAATTTTTGATACAAATCAGTCAGTTGCAAAAGAGAGGTGTCAAAAAGTACACACCAAAATATCACGCAAACAGTCTGAAGTGAACTGGAGATAGCTGACTTAACCGTGTTTATTGTCGAGGAGGTTGTGATTTCAATCACAGCTCTCGGTAAGGCCTAGTAGCTAAGGCGCATAGAGCGTTTGCTGTACCAAAGCCATCCCCTTGCTGTGGTGTGTTCGAATCCCACCGAGGTCGCTGGGTATTTCACAGTTAGGTCGAAATGAAATATTCAAAATCTGCCAAAAAGCTTGATAATTACGGAAGCCTGGTATTCGTCTGGTGGATTCAAATGGATTACTTAGGAAATCGTTCCTGGACGGTCAGCATACTGTATGGGGTTAGAATGACACTATACATTGTAGTAGGCTGCGCGGGCAGCTTTTGTCCAAATATGATTAAGTTCATGACTTTTAGTGGGGCCTCGTAGCTCAGTTGGCTAGAACGTGGGTTGTGCTATAGCCTTCTCCTTGCTGTCATGAGCTCGAATCTCACTGACGTCACCGAGTTTTTCAGAACTCATAAGTGATTGCGGAGCAGCTAAACACAAGCATTTGCTACAGCTTATCAGGCCTAACAGTTGCCTTTTTTGTTAAACTCCTCTTATTCTTAGTTCTGATGATTCCTTCCTTTTGGTAATGTACTATCTGTTTTGGGTTTGTTTTAGTTTTCTATCTCATCAACTGTACTTGGCAAGTCTGGCTGTAAGGAGAATTATCTTAGTGCTGGGTGTCAGCAACATATGGGGCAAACGAACCTTCGGTTAGGCCGTGTGCAGGCGTTTCTGTTTATGCCACATCTAAGCATGACCAACATCTGAATTTAACTTTGTGACGCGGTGGGCATAAACATTTTTTCTAACTTGGTAAACGGAAATAACTGCTACACGAAGAGCACACCAACGTGTTTCTACTGATCGCATTTTCCTCGCTTTTTCCGCCTGAAGCATGCACTCACTGCTGGACTTCTGTCTGTTTTATAATGAACTGCTACTGATAGGCACATTGGCCGGTGATAAAAGTTGTTTTCCTTTCAATATTTGCACAATTTATTGATGACCCCGTGTCTGCTTTTCGCGACCGCAGATTTCTTGTCAAGACCAGTGCCATTTTTATCTAGGCGCAGAAATTCGACTTTATCACCGATGCAATACGACTATGCGTTCTTCGTCGGCTGATGCATTCTCATTTTAGCACAATTGTCTTCGCTTACTCGAGGATTTTCCCGCTAGTGTGCTCGAGTGCAGTTGCGGAAAAACAACCTCTCGGTTAGGAGGTTGTTTTGTGCATATATAAAGAATTAAACTCTTGGATCCAGAAATCGCTCGTTTTCAGATGCGATGGATTCCGTCTATCCGGACCACAGTGGGTCAGAACATTTCGGCTCGATTAAACGGTCGCTGCCAGTTGCTCGGGCGTATGTGTAATAATTGAAAAGTCAAATTGGCGAACACGTGTTTTTGGTAACTCTTCATCAGGCCAAAACGGTTACATAGAAGTTAAAGTCATGCGAATTACATGGCTTATAAGCGATTCGGGGACAATTACCATCCATCGTTCCCACGCCACTCGCATGACGAGGCGTGCTATGCCGTGTTCGACGTGTCGCGGTTATCGGGTCAAGGGGTCGAGGGAGAGGAGGGGCATAGGCTGTGAGTACGTCGGGTACGTTGCGCACACACCCTGCCATCAGGAGGTTGAGGCGACGTTGGAGTCGGCGTTGGCCACGGAAGACAGAGCGCCTGTGTCAGAGTCTTCTGACAGCATAGCACTGGATTGGCTAGCCGTATAGCCACTGTCTAGGCTGTAGCTAGCACCCGTTGGCGTAGGCCTCTGGAGAAGCTTGCTAGTGTCCGGAGACAGCCTGAAAGGCTTCTTGGCATCAACTCGGTGATTTGTATCGACAAGATGTGCGAGGATAGAACTCGAGATCGATTTCTTTTCACTTTTGCCTAGCCAGGCCGGTATGTGTTCACGTACTCTCTTTTCCAAGCGCCTCGTTGTACGGCCAATGTATCCCGCTCCACAGGAGCAAGTGAATGAATAAATACACATCGATGTGGCCTGCAACGGGAGTCGGTCTTTACCTCTCAAGCGTAGGAGGGGAGAGTTAGTGAAACACACATATGTGTAATACACAGGCTACTCGGAATATTCTGACGTTCGTCCCTTGTCGTCTCTGTTTCAGTGCGTTTGTTCGTTGCATCATAGAGTTCCTAGATATGGTCGTGGTCTGTTTAGACCGCCATAGCAATACTGATGAAATCCACAACATCCGCAGCCACCAAGTAAACTCGTGGGACGTAAGTATATTCAGAATACTTTTGTAGGGGGAGACAATACAAAGAAAACAGACAAAAAACCGCGAACGTTTACTTTCTGTTAAGTTTAGATCTGGGTATAATTCAAGTGCAGGTATGTAACGCGAGAAGCAACCGTAGACTCGGATTTTCTCAGTGTTACTAGCAAAATATTCAAGCCAAAGAATGTCGCACCAACTTTGGCCTCACTTGACAAAACGGTTGGTCGGCATTAAAACTAAAGGGGCACTTCAGACCGAACCACGCCCGTCCGGAGCCAATCAACAAAGACAAAATTATTCATTTGCTCAGGACTGTTGCTCTTGTCAACCGTCAAGCGATC